CTCCATGGTTCTCTGGCCAGTTAGGTGACTCATATTATAAAGACCATGGTGATGAAGAACCAGACTCTAGTTGCCGCTCAAGACAATTTATTATCTACTCAAGCATTTGTTTCAACAACTTAGAAAGGATTATAGTCTTTTCACCTCGAGAATTCCTCTCTGACTCAACATCTAGCTAACTGTACGACTGCAACCTTGGGACGATTTCACAATCTTTTAAAAATGTCTTACAATAAGTGGAGCACTTTCATTATCCTTTGCTTATCTTGAGAGAGCGGATTCGACTGAATTAAATGCTTAAAGATAGAGTGATCGTCTCCTTACTGGAGTAGTCTTGTTGGCCCCACATTTGTTTTTGTTTTATATGTATGTTTATATAACTCACACTAAATCTAGGCCCATTTTTTCAAACAACTCATAATACATGATGTTGAAAAAGTTGTCATCGTCAATAAGGATTCAGGAGATATCAAAATGCTTGATTATAGCTATAATCACTAGGGGAATATTTCATTAGGAATGCTGCATACTTTCTCGGAGTACCGAAATCCCAACTGTGTCGATTAGGGGTCTTCACAAATGTACTCCCCTCCTTTTTATGGACGAATAACATATCAGTGATCTTCCTTTTCATGGTTCCCTTAGATTGATGGTTTTCATGAGGTGTTTTTCCTATGATGGCAGTGATATATGAGCGCTTACCTTTACTGGCCTTCTTGCTCTCGCCATTAAATCCTGCTTCGGCAGTTTTAAAGGGGGATTTGCTTTTGGGGTGATTCCTTCCTTTATGTTTTTCCTGCTTTCATGTACTCGATCAACCAACCTCTTTTGATCAATCCTTTAATGACAACTTACAGTTGGATTCATTCGTTAGTGTTATGGTCGCGTCCTTTATGTAAGTGGCAGTACTTTAACTTGTCAGTATAGGACGACTCTCGAATAGGGAAAGATGGTCTGATTCCTTCTCTCTGGAATTCTGTGTTGGCATAATACTGGTAGATCTTCTTCTGAGATAAGTTTAGTGGTGTGCATTAGTCGTACCGTCCATACATTCCTCTATCAAACTTGTCCTTCCGCCGACGAGTCCATCTCAGGTGGGCAACTAGAGTTGGAAATTGACGAGAATGGGATTGTCGAATCGTGTATTCAGTTTTTCTTCCAGGATCATATACGACTGAGTCATGCCCGACATTTCTTGAGTGGTTCTCACTCTCTTCCTTCTTACCTTCAACCTGAATGGATGCTCGCACAAAATCCTATTCTCGAAAATTCAAAATTTAAGGCTTATTGGGCTTCTTCTACTTCAATAGAAACTTGGGTTAACCGTTCCATGTACGACCACATACTTTCCTTATTCCCTTAAACAATTCCGCTCAACGCAACTATCGTCATTGGCTGCCTCTTCTCGACAGTGAAGTGTGCACAGAAACATTTGGAGAAACTTGATCATGATTCAATGCTTCCATCTGGAAGACCATTAAATCACAACCTGGTTGGGCCGACTAGAGTTAATGCAAATAACTTGCATTTGGTGGATTCATCGACACTAAACTAATTCAACTGATCATTGACAAGTTAGATGTGTTCATCCATATCTTCGTTTCCATCGTACTCTCCTAGCTTGGGAGGCTTCTCCATGGATTTTGGTTTTTTGCTGTCCAAAATTCGAGCGCGTAGAGGATGCTTCAAATGATTCTTTGACGGTTGATTCTCTGCTTGATTTGGGGGAGGAACATGACTGCCTTGGTCCCCCTTGGGACTTTGGGGGAGGGCTTTAGTGTTTCTTGCTCCTATGATGATTCTTTGACTTAGGAGTTTCATATTTTTTTGAATGTGGTTGTCTCGGAAACGATAGTGTGAGCTCTTATGGATACAACTTCTCGAATGGTGTTCACTCATTAAGGCGTGTTTATAAGGCTTTCCTCAACACAAAGCGTCCTTTCTTCTATCGCTTGTAAATTTTGCTGCCGAACGATGCACATGTTGTTCAAAAACACTTTAGCGCCTTACCGTCTAAGGTTAGCTCATAGTAGCCAAAAGTCAAGTAAGGCTTTTTAGGTTGTGGGATTGGAGGCAAAATTGGAAGCACGACCGGAAGAGCTTGGATAGATCCAGCTATCTGAGGAATTTCAACAAATTATGGATGTAACATAGTTTCTTCTCTCGGATTCACAATGTCTTGCATAAGAGGTGGAGGTGGTTGATTGATCGCTGTTTGAATGATGACAACAGCAGTGACATCGACTTCTCGTGCAGCGAAGGACCTAGTGGCTTTAGATCCAACCATTATTTATAAGTGTAGAGATCAGAGATCAAGAAGTTATAAATATCAAATTTTAAATGCTACTTGATTAGATCGAACGTGATAAATCTCCGTGTTTGATCTCGAGGGCACTTGATTCAATGACTTGACAAGGTTACAAACCAGCGAACTAAAGAGCGAACGTGAAACCGTGAAAAACGCATGATTCAAAAGTGGATTCCCGTAGATGACACCACTATTCTATACTAAAACCATAAATGAATAAAAGACTCTAGATAATGACGAATCTGAACTTCTGAAAAATAAACATTAAAAGTTTAAAATCAATCAAATAATTTGACTAATGAAAATTTTTAAAATTAAATACTAATAAAATTAGTCAATTTTATTAAAAAATTAAATTTATTATCTGATTGAATAACACTTAACCACATATTTGACTGAAACTACTATTCGAAATTTCAAAAAAATCACAACAAAAGTTATCATTTGGAGCTTTATAAAAATCACAACATATGGTCATTATGACAATATTTTTGTTCTTGATGTCAAACCAAACAACCACTTACAAAATCTAAAACTAATATTACTTAATTATAAATTAGTTTGTTTTTATCTTAAATGTTATTCGATTGATTGATATTTAGAGACATTATTACTGAGAATAACAAATATTAGTAATGCGGAGAAGTTCTTCTTTAATTATAAAAAAGAAGATTTAAAAATTTATAAGTAAAAAAATTACAGAAAACCATAATTAATTCTGTTGCTAAATTATAAAAACTGTAATTAATTATGTCACTAAATTACAGAAAAAACAAAAAGTATGAATTAAAAATTTTAAAATGACCATTTAAAAAAAATTTAAAAAAAATTAAAAACGAAATCAAAATATTTACTAAAACTATAAATATATTTAACCAAATTAAAAATTAATATAGTTAAAAAAATATAAACTAATTTATAGCAGTCTACAATAATTTGAGCAAATGAACCCTTGTAGTTGGAGAAGAATATAAAGTACAGAGAAACGACGTAGTTTGATTCAAGCTATTCCAAAAATGATGACGATTGTTGACCCAAGGGTGATGGTGAATAAATATATTAATTGCTGTAGATTATATAAAAATATTAAACAAGGTTATTTTAAAGTTGGATAACAATTGAGTGTAGACTTTGATTTTTATGTTAATGATGTTTATTTTAAAAGTTTTTCTTTTGGTTTGTAAAAGTCTATTAAGGATTTTTATGATTTCAATATTATAAACCGTAAATTTTATTTAAGTTTGTAAGGTCTATTAAAAAAAGAGTTCTTTTTCACTAAATTTAAATCTTAATTTCAAAAAATGTTTTTGCATCGAGGAAAATATTTTATCTTTGTTTTACTTAAAATTGGGTGTTATAAATCATAATCACAATTAATATGATAATAAATTATGGAATAAAAAGTAGTCCAAAATTTTCAATTCATCAAAAAATTGCAAATCAAATAAGTTGTATATCTTAAAATGACACGGACCCAAATAACCGGTGACACATTATTAGTGAGCATTACACATCAACAAACCAAAGGACACTAAAGAAGTTGAAATTATGGAACTTGATTAATAAAGGTCAAAAAAGCTAATTTAAAAATAGGTAGGGGTTGTAACACCATAACCTGAAATTTATATAATAAACATTATACACTGATTAGAGTGTTACGAACTGTAAAATATCTCAACTTTATTCAAATAGCAGCAGAAAATAAAATAAAAATACTCGACAAAATCATGTTCTTAACTTTAAAATAATGTCATAAAAACTTCTAAAAAACATTAATTCAAATTCAACAATTAAAACAAGCATCCCAACCCTGATGTTACATGATCATAGTATAACCACTAAATAAAAAACGAAACTAAATGAAAATAACTTCAAAAGTTATCTTCCAGTCACAACATTAACTTCTAATCTTGATTATATGCAAGATGCCCATGGTGGAAAATATCTAAGCAGGGGGGGGGGGGGGGGGGTTGAAAATTCACTTCAATAAATAAACGGTAAAAGCTGCAAGGTAGAATACAAACATGTACACATATATCACAACATTCACACAACATCATTATCACACCTAATCCATCAACATACTCGATAAAACCATATATTCATCATTTAAATTATGCAATGAAACTCACAATATCAACAAAACCCTTATGCACGTGGTACTATATTATCATCAATTGGTTCACTCGGGAATCAGGTTCACCTTGCTCGAACCTCGAATCTACCCTGCTCGAATTCGGGACAAGTCACCAATCTACCCTGCTCGGATTGTAAATTGCCTCTTCCATCAACAACAATGACATAATGATACATGTCAATGCAACAACAACATAATGTTTAAAGTCCCCTCCCGATAATAAGCAAAACCTGCATTGACTCAATGATAATAATTTCATTTTTACAACAAATTGATAATCAATATTCTAAGAAACTAATAAGCGATCAGACAATAAAAATTTGTCAATTTTTCTCATGGCCGAACTATCAGATTTATGCCAGGTGAATCTCCCACCAGAAACAAGGAGGTCAATGAGCTCCATCGAATTGATAAAAGCATCAAAATCATACAATTTGGCTATATTGAAAGAAGAGGTCTTGCCTTTGTGCTCACACTTCTTCTAAATTGTGTTGAAATCTCCAACCACGCATCACTCCCCTTGAGTCATTCTTCTTTTGAATCAGTCAATTCACTTCAAAATTCTTTATTCTTGTTGATGGAGCCAAAAGAGTAAACATTAACTAGATAAATTGATATGCCCTTCCAAATCACATTGATTCCAACGTAACCCTCCCCTTTGAAGCTAAACATGAGATTAAAAAAACCAGCCTTCCACATTATTAGAAGCACTCTAGAATTTCCTTGAGAAGGTTTAGAGGTCCATTCAACCTTGTGACTACCCAAATTGAAAAACATCATAGTTCTCTCAGAGTTGAATCTTACTTGAATCATTATTATCTCAAAAATCCCCTCAATGATGGAATTCTTCAAGTTCCTCTTCTTGGCTAGAGAACTACAACCATAGATATTAAAGTGCAAAATATTCATGAAAAACCCAATTTGACTCCATCCTTCTTGCTCTTTAATTCTCTGTCCCTCAATTCCAAACATTCAATTTCTTCGACATGAGTTGAATCTTCCCTAACCCCTTTGACTCTAAAACAAAACGCTTGATTCCAAATCTTGTGAGAATCAACAAGAGAGGAATAATTCAGGATCCTGTTAGAACAAGATTTGTTCATGATATACATTCCCTGAGTCTTAACGATAACAAAGTATTAACAGAACAATGGTGTTATTGTTAGAACAAGATTTTGGTTCTGCATATAATCTCTAATTTTGATGATAACAATGCATATATTTTATATGTAACAACCTTGTACTCTAATGATTTTTTGAAGTGTGCAGTTTTTAAATTCAAATTGATTCTTAATAGCTCTCAACAATATTCATCAGAATCCTTCTGGCATGCCTCAAGAAACTATTTCGTTTTTCTCTAAAGAAACATCAATAGTTCTGATGAATGCTGAATGCCTTTGAAGAAAAAAAAGTTGTGTGATTCTATGATAAAGCTTCGCTTCCAGCTCTAAAATTAAGTTCTGAAAACAAGGTTCTATTGAACAAGTTCTGAAGAATATGAAGACATCACATCTAAAGACCTTGAAGACTTTGAAGAATTTGATACCAATCAGTCTTTTATTTTCAAGACTTAACATCACTACTCATCAGATACAGTTCATGAGAAGACAAGGTTAAGACAAAAACGTGTGCTAAAAGAATCCATACAAATAGTACATTCCCAAATTCAAAAAAACTAATCTTATGTCAGTACTACTATATGGAATATGGTGAGACTTTACTACTCTTGTCTCTCACGGTCTTCGTATAACCGTTGCAACAATTAACATCAATATTTACATGTTTACCCTCCAATGTTCAACCATCCAGCTATATAAAGGAATCACTACCTCATTTCAAACTACAACAATAATCAATATTACAAGAGAAAAATACGCACAATATAAAAAGTCTATCAAAAGTATTTTTCAAACACAAAGAGTTGTTGCTCATATTTGTGTAAAACCTTATTCTTAAAATTGTTTCATATGTTTTATAGAAGCATCTTTGAAAACACTTTCTTTATATCTTCTTTGATATCATTTTTCCTCAAGGGACTAAGTGTTAGTCTGTAGACTTAAGAGGGCTAAGGTATTTTTCAAAACACTTAGGCGAACTTGTTGTAATCTTTCAAGATTAGTGGATTAAGTTCTTTTTGAAAGCAAAATCACCTTGGCGGGTGGACTGGAGTAACTTAGTTAGTAGTGAGCCAGGATAAAAATACTTGTGTCTATTTATTTTTATTCACTTGTTAACTTTTGTGCTGAAAGTCTAAAAAGTTTACATTTGGTAAAAACCCAATTCAAGCCCCCTTTCTTGTGTTTTTCTCTACCTTCAATTGGTATCAGAGCTCCGACTCTGTTATTGATTTTCCAATCAAACACTTAACCGTGTAGAGAGATCCAGTGTGAGAAAAATATTATGGTTGATGCTAACACAAATAAGAGAGATAGTTACAATGCCAAGCCACCTATCTTTGATGGAGAAAAGTTTGACTATTGGGAAGATATAATAGAAGGTTTCTTTCTAGGCTATGATGCAGATATTTGGGACATTGTCCAAATGGCTATGAAATGCCTGTATTTATGAATGGTATTCCCATTCTCAGAAACAGAATGAATGAAAATCAAAAGCGTGAGTTCAAGAATCACCACAAATCCATAACTATCCTTCTCAATGCTATATCTTACAATGAATATGTAAAAATTACTAATAGAGATACAACAAAGGATATTTTTGATTCTTTGAGAATGACACATGGAGGCAATACTCAAGTCAAGGAAACTAAAGCTCTGACATTGGTCCAGAAATATGAGGCTTTCAAGATGGAAGAGGACGAAACCATTGAGACTATGTTCTCAAGATTTCAAACCCTAGTTCAAGGACTTAAGATTCTATACAAAGGTTACTTTACAACTGATAATGTAAAAAAGATCATAAGAAGCCTTCTCAAGAAATAGAGACCAATGGTTACTGCACTAAAGCTATCCAAGGGTCTGAACATCATAAGCCTTAATGAGTTGGTCAGCTCACTCAGAAGTCATGAAATAGAGTTAGAGGAAGATAAGTCTCAGAAAAGAGTAAATTTGTCGCTCTAAGGTATAGATTAGAATGAAACGAGTCATAAAAGACTAAAGACTTCCAAGCTAAGGAAGAAGAAATAGAAGACTTACGAAGAAGGTTCTGATGACGAAGATGAATTTCTCTTTCTCTCCAGAAGAATCAAACAACTCTCAAAGAAAAGACAAAACAACTCCTGGAGGTCCATAAACAAAGGAGATCGTCCAGATTCATCTTCAAGAGGAAGAACAAGCAAATAAGTAACATGCTATGAATCTAAGGAGCCAAAACACTATAGAAATGTATGTCCAAAGCTTAAGAAAGAAAGCTCAAGAAAAGAAAGTTTCAAGAAGGATGCATTCAAAGGAAAAAAGAAAGGTCTCATGGCAACATGGGATGATTCTGTCTCTGAAGAACAGCATGCCAACGTAGCACTCATGGCTTCCACAGGAAACACAAGTGAAACAAAGTTTGACTTAGAAGAGGTATTTTCTGAATTTTCTCGTGCTGATTTAGAATCATGTTTGTCAGAATCTCTAAATAGGTATCAGAAACTTCAACGCAAGTTCAAAGACCTGAAAATGGCTCATGAATATGAAGTTGAAGAATGCATTAATTTAGAGAAATAAGTTTCTAAACAAAAAGATGACAATTTAGTTTTGGAAAAATAAAATACTTTTCTAAACAAAAAATGTTTAAAACTTGAAGAAACTCATTCTAAAGCTTTTCCAACTTCTGAAACCATCTTATATAAATACGATAAGGCATTCCAGAAATTCTTGAACAATACAGGTAAATACTATGATCATATTTCACTTCAAGAAAAGAAAACAAAATCTCCCATCTCCTATCACTACACACCATCACAAACACAAAAATTTACTACTGCGCAAAAACCCAAATTGGACAGAAACTCTAGAAAAACTAATCAAAGAGGACCCAAAATATTATGGGTACAAAAGATAAAATAGTATATGTTGCAGATATCCTATGCAACAGAGTTAAAACACCAGTCATGGTACCTGGACTCTGGATGCTCACGACACATGACAGGAAGAAGATATATGTTCCAAAGTCTGGAACTTAAAGATGCTGGATACGTAGGTTTCAAAGGAAACCAGAAAGGAAGAATCAAATGATCTAGAATAGTTGGTAACAAATCTCTTCCTTCTATATCTAATGTAATTTATGTTGAAGGTCTAATGCATAACTTGTTATCCATAATTCAATTAAGTGGTAACAGTTATGACATTATCTTTAATCAAAAAACGTATAAAGGTGTTAGTTCGAAAGATATCATAGTTCTCTTCACTAGAAAGAAGAAAAAACAACATTTAAAGATAAAGCTTTCTGATCTTAAAAACCAAGATGTTAAATGCTTAATATTTGTTAGCAAAGAGCAGTGGGTGTGGTATAGATGCTTGGGTCATATTAGCATGAGGAGGATTTCTCAGGTAAATAAACTTGAGTTAGTCAGAGGCATGCTGTTACTTTTTTATGTGTTTACTTTTTGATATTGATTTAAAGCAAAGGTGTCACATGCAAGTATACATGTATGTACGATTGCATCAAGTGATAAAGTAAAGAGGTCGTACCCACAGAGAGTGAAATTGATTTAGCTTTGTACTATAAGTATTCAACCTTTGTTTAAAATAAGTATGAGCAAGGTAACAAAATACTAATGGTTATAAGAAGCAAGAGGTTCACACAACAACTTAAAATACTAAATGAAAAGGAAATAAAATATCAGAGAGAGTGATTAATGAGCTAAGATCCATTAATATATTATTGCTGAAATGTATTCATGATGTGAAGTGTCGTGCCTCAAAAGGTCAGAACGTGATCTAGTGGTGTATCTCTACAACATAAAAACATGCATAACTAGGGCAAGGGAACAAATCTCTAAGCCTCACTTATAACCCTAAAATATGTCTGGTTTTAATTCTGAAAATCTTTATGGCCTTAGCTTCTTATCTCTAAGCAAGCTAAATTAAGTGAATATCTCTATCCTACTTTATTAACCACTTTTGTTATGAAATCCACCCGTTGTTGGATCTCTCTCAACAACAAGCTTGTATCTTTTTCTAAGTTGATCATTCTAAGAAGAACGTGTATAGAATAAAAATACATAACAAAATAAGACACTAATCAACACAACATTTCAACATAAAACAGCTTTATATTAACTTCACTTTGCTCATCAAACAAGAGTTTAACTCATAATGAGCTGAGCACAAACTACTGGAATGAAACTACAGGAAGACATACTCTTAGCAAAAATATGTAAAAGAAATGACAAACTAATAGTAACTTGAAGATCCTTTGTGTTGGATAAACAACAACAGATCTCTTCAGTCACGACAACTCTGATGAGAAGAAGAAAACTCTCTAATTCTTTCATAATCCTCAAAGTGAAATAAAACTAAACTGAAAATAAATATGAGTGTGTGAAAATCTCCAGCTCTCTTTCTTCAATACGCAAGGCTTGCTTTTATAGACTTGAGTGTGAGAGTAGAAGTTGGTGAGTCTTGGATCATGGGCCTTTGATAGGAATAAGGTTCAACCCATATCAAATCACTAAAATATCCAGCTGTCCAATCTCCCTTTGTGAGAAAGTTATCCAGTATAGACAACAATGGGGGACAAGGTGTATTTGGCAAGCTGCTGTAGCAGGTAATGTCATAGAGCAGACGACTGGTGGCTGGGTGCAATATGCACATTTACAGGCAATGGTGCAGAGCAGACGATGGGTGGCTGCGTGTAGGATGCACTTTTGCAGGCGTTGTCCGCACCGTACTACCTTTTGTCTTCAAGCTCCTTTGCTCTTATCTTTATGCTTTAGCTCTTTCTTTACATAAATACTTGTCACG